ACGTCCGTCATTAATAGAGAACATGAGTATGAAATAAAGAGCGATATTCATAGTCCGTTCTTATTTCAAAACCGTCTTAAGTAATGTCTTAAGAAATGTCTTAAGATGCTAATACAGCCTTCTTATTGGCTTATGATATCTTTAGACTGTACTTGAGCCTTAAATATAAGAATCGACTATAAGCCATAGTAGAAAGGCTGACTTATAATCTTAAGATAGCGTCTTGTGACTTAAGTATTGTCTTTAGTAACGCACAGTTTTCAGTACTGGCAGTTAATTTTGGAATACAGCCAACAAAAACAGTAGCTAATCCAACATGTTGATTTTCTTACTACTTACATCTTACTGCCTTAAGTTTTTTGTGTGCCATGGCTCTATGACCAGCCAAAGTGAAAAAACAAGCTATAACAAGCTATTTTACTGTCTTACTACCACTTTTGTTTCCTGAATATGACGGAACTCTTATTAGAGGAACTCTACTCTTGTATGAACACTTCGTCTATCCTATAAGTCTATCCTATAAGTCTTATTGTTTTAAGTTTTTTTGTGTATTATGGACCTTAGTGAGGTCATGTTTGTAGCGCTAAATAATACGATGCACGAATAGCATTTTCCTGAACGCATTCCTATTGTAAATCCTGCATAAAAGAAATCATGATCTTTGATTTTGTATTGAAAAAAAAGTTCTTTCTTGTTGAATAGTAAAATTTATTTCTTTTCATGATTTTACAAAATATTTTATACATCTGTCTTTCAGAATAGACTATTGTTATCATTTTGCTATAAATATGAATTATCTTATATTTTCATTTTGAAATATAAAATTACAATTATTACTCAGAACTTTAAAAACAAATTGTCATATTTATAAATACAAAATTTATTGTATATAATTAATAATTTAAGATAAAATGACATATAAAAATGTTAATTAAATATACAATTATATCGTTCTATTTATATTTGATTATCGATCAATAATGTTTATATAAATTTATCTTAGTAGTAAATACATAATAAATATTAATTAAAAATAATTAAATAAAAAATATATAAATTTAAATACACGTATATTTTGTATATCATATTTTAAAATAGAAAAAAATTGATTGAGATGTGTTAAAGTGTTTTATTTTGACTTACAGAGGATATTGCTAGCACAGAGTAACGAACAGAAATAAGCTTCAAATATAAAAGCTGTAGACATCGACTTTTTTATCTCGGCACATAGTAAAGGTACATATATGAGCTTCTTTATGTAACAATCAAAACAGGCAGTTCTACATAGGTAGCAGCATTTTGCTTCATCCAAATAATCCACCAATGTATATGGTATTATACTTGCATCATACGTTATCCTATATAAGATATAAAAATTTTCTTGATCCATTCATCACATATTTCAAATATTTAATTATGCGATATAAATAAAAAAAAAAAAAAGAAAACAAGAACCTAGACTTTAGAATGCTCTTAGCTGACCATTCAACAAGACTTGCCATCTTTACTGTCATTGTACTGTCATTTCCACAAACATCATTTTTAATGTAGGATTCCGTAAACGGATTCTCTGTAACATCTAAAAGCTGTAATCGCAGATATGTGATGGTCACTGGTAAATATGACAAATGATTTCTTGCTACATCCAAAACTTTCAGATTTCGTAAAGTTCTAATATTATGTGGTAGATGCGTCAATGCATTTTGGCTAATCTTTAAATGTACCAAGGCATTTAGGTTTTTAATCTGTGTTGGCAATTCAGTTAACTGCGAATAAAAATTATTATAACAATCATAAATTTATAGAAAACAGAATCTACTTTATTAATTAATATAATTTTTAAGTTTAATTGGATACTTACTAAATTACTACTTATATCTAACAAATGCAAATTATGCTTAATGGCAGTTTGCTCTAACCATGTCCACTTTGATTTAGGTGATTTTCCAAGATTATTTTGCGACAGTAAAAGTTGTTGAAGATGAGGTAAGGTGCCTAGCTCTTTTGGCAAATAAGAGATGTTATTGTCCGACAAATCTAGAATTCTTAGACTTTGCAAACGCAAAATTTGCCGATCAAATGACTTTCTGCTCAGTCCACTTAAAATTAGTTGCTCTGTAGTTCTTGGGAAACCCTGTAATGTTGGATAGTCAGACTTTTTCTTTACTACAATTTTGACTTTTCCCATGGAGAATTGACTTGAGTTGAAAGACACATTAGGCATAACTGTGTACTTATTTACGAGAACGTCATGCTGAGAATGTCTATTTATTATTTGATTCAATATACGAAGAAAGCTTTTCAATTGAATTGAATCACTCTGAATTATCAGATCGTGACAAGGTTGTGTCAGTCTTATTGTAACTTTGCCATCGGCGATAAACTTCGTGAACACTTGTTTTACATTATTAACAATCTAAAAATAAGAAGAAAGATGATTATCAGATATATTCTTCAAAAATAAAATGAAATATGCAATTTAAATTCTGCTGAAAATATAAAAACTATTAAAACGATATAAAAGTTAATTAAAGTTTAAAAAAATCTGCAATGGAAGTAAGGGCTACACATTTTCTGTAACCATTAGACATATCGTAAGAATTAGCCAATCGGAGCTCAAAATTTATAATTTTTTAACGTAATTGGCTAATTCTTATGCTACATCTTTTACAGATTACTGTTATAAAAAGTGTGTATAGATCCCTTAAAGCTAGAAGCATATAGAAAAACTAAGGCGGTAAGATTTAAATAATAAGCGAATTGGCCAATTACAATAGAGTACACAAGGTAATAAGCCTTAGGTTCTCTACTGTGATTGGCCGAATCGTCACTGCTGTCTTATTTATGTTTTTAGCTTAAAGTCTATTCTATGACAGCCGTAAGCACAGTTGTGATCGTAGATGTAAGAATTGATTAATCATGTCAAATATGAAGAAAATATTTGACTGGTCAAATATTTGATTGGTCAATTCTTACAAATACAATTACGACTATGCTTATGGCTATCACAGAACAGGCATGAGAATTGACTAGTTATAGTTAAATATGAGAATATTCGACTGATCAATTCTTACAACTACAATCATGCTTAGTCAATTGTAAAATGAGATTAAAGCCTAGAACACAGACCTTTGTATAATGCATAATTTATAAAGCATGAGAGAATCAACTAATTAGTCTTTTATTTTATGGAAAGAAAGAAAATGAAGGACTTTAATTGATTAATTTTTTTATGTATTGAATTCTTATGTACTAAAGAATCATTGAGTACTCACTGATTAATTTTTTCTGTTGAACACAGCTATTATTCCTATCGTAGACAGTCTATAAAGTCTATTTTATAAATGCATAGTTGTAAGAGTTGATCTATATTTACAATTATAGGCACTTATGACTATGATTATGCAATTGTAGAATGAGTTTGTTAGAAAAACAGACAATTAGACACTAGTATTACTGTCAGCTACCTGGTACTTGGTGCCTTGCTTGTTCTGTCGTGTTTGCAGATACAGATATACGTCGTCATCTTCAACTGATTTCTTAGTGAATGCCAAGATCGACTGTGATCTTCTCTGCGAGCAGACAGATAATATTCTATCGTGGATCTCGATATAGCAATGAAACTTCATAATCGTTCACTGTTCCGCACACCAGCCAAATCGTCAAATCCGGAGCAACGTCAAATGTAATGAGCAGTAACGAGAAAAAATTAAGATAATTCTTCAGAATAGCTATCTTACCTCCGTTTTCAATGAAATTAGGCTCATTTAATGCGTTTTTGCATACAATAAAAGAATCTGGCAGAAAAAAAGTCCAAGACTGTTCTGCGAAGCGAGATATTGAGTGTTAAAGTTGACTAAAGTGTTACACGATTATTAATCTGTCGTATAGACAGTAGAGTGTATAGACTGGTACTTATTGGTTCGCCCCGAACAAAAGAAAATTAACATACCCGCTCGGAGCCTAACCGCCTAGAAGTTGCAGCGTAAATAGTATCCGCTTGGAATATTTCTAACCTATGAAGACAGCTAACCTGTATGAACAGTTTTTTTAGAGCGGTCTTTTTACTGTCTAGGTTGCAACTTCTAGGCAGTTAGGCCCCGAGGGGGTAGGATATGTTATTTTTTTGGTTTGGGGCGGCTATTCTGAAGAATTACCAAAATTAGACTAACCTTTAAAACGCCACGATAATAAGTGATATACAGGTTATACATAATCTATGCTATAACCAATTAAATATTTTTCTTTTCTTCTCCTGAGACTTTTTCTTCTTCTTAAAGATCCCTATCTTGATTTCGATCCACTAAAAGGTCGATAAATCCGGTATTCTGATGTATGGCTCTTCGTGGAGCAAAGACCACATGCATAAACAATAAGTCTGTGTGTCGCGTTGTTCGAAATCCCCCTCCCCCCCCCCAAATTTTTGAACTTAAAATGAGGTAGCTATATATTTGAGTGCTGAAAAGAGGGTAAGAAATTTACTAGATATGGACACAACAGAAATACCAACAGCGTCAGGGCTGTGTGGCTCAGTGGCAGAGCGAAAGTCCAACTCGGAGGAGAAATCAGGCCTGGCAAATAAGATTCTATTTTCTGATTGGTTGTAGAATGTCGATACGACACACGTTAGATCCAGTGTGAATTCAGCATTAAGATAATGTCGACGTTTTCATGGTTCTTTTCCATACTATTACGTGAGTTTAAATAAAGATGAACATTCAAAGTTATTCGTCCTTATCTAATCCACGTAATAGTATGGAAGAAAACCTCAGAAACATGGACATTATTCTACGGAAAAGGCAGTGATATCCACTCTCAGGTTTTTCTCTGATAATAATAAGTATCATCACCGACGAGATATTATTAAAGACCGACATCCTTACGGGAGTTGGCGTCCTTGTGAATATTGAAGTAATTAAGAGTTAAAAACTGATTATATTGTACTAATTTTACGATTTATTAGTTTAGTGGACATATTTAAAACTCAATAATACTCGATTTTTCTTTAAAATTGTAATTTCAGTGTTATCGACATTCATTATCAACAGAAATGATAACTGCAGAGAAAAAATTGTAATTTTTCTGCAATATATAGGATATTATAGCTTTACAAGTATGCATATTTATTTATGGAACATTTATGTTAATAATAGCAAATTTATATCAATTGTCGATAATGTCAGCATTCTTTAATTATCTCCGGGACCCTTTTTATACAGTCGAAAATTTGCCCAGGGCTGACAGTCTTTAATAATATCTCGTCGGCGATATCATGAATTTTTCGATATCGGGGATATCGATACAGTATCGCTCATCACGAAATTGTACTTTCGCGATTCGCCATAGTGGAAGAACGGCCAGTGATTTCAGTTGTCGCGGTTATCGTCACTGATTTTTTGATGTTTGGTAGGCGGAATTGGGCGGAATGTGTATCTGTTCGCGCGAGAAAGTTGAGATAGACAGAGTGATTCGGAGGCAATTCGGAGTCGAGCAGTCTAAGTCTTGCAGAAATTCTCTCTTCCGTAATTTCTGATACGTTATACATGACGGCAAGGTACTGTCTATCTACGGCAGGATGTTATGAGCAGTTGTGATTGTGAATCCCGGACACAGTCGCAGACCTTCTTTCGAGATCACACTTGGTATGGTGCTGTCACAATTGGCGATTTTTTGAGCCCCGGCACGAAAAGGTCACGGGTCTTCGTCGTTGAAAAATCTTGAAGATCGCTATCGTCGTGCTTTTTTGCTCTTCCCGACGGGATATCGTCCAAACAGGCTTGAACAATTTCTCATCCGTTTCGCGAACGATGCTGCCGCTCGTGATGATAGATTGCGTGTCTAAGCGGTGGATCCTGTTTCTTCTGTTTGTACTAAGTCAAACGAGTCATGGCCACGACGAAGATGCACATACTCTTCGGTATACCCGCGATAACTTTTCCATGGAAGTCGGCAAGAAAAATCACTTCATCATGTTCTATGCACCATGGTAAAGAAATGCATGTATTCTCATTATATAGTCGTGCTGTAAATTGTTTCTTAAAGAATTGATTTATTTTATAATTAAAATCAAAGACACAGTGCAATTTATACTTATTTTGATAATTGTTGAGTTGAGCTATCTCATGTTTGATATTGATAAAAAAGTAGGTCCATTCAATATATTTTGGCATGAAATCAACGAATCTAGCAAAAAAGTTGTACGAACCGAGAAATTGAGGGCCGTCTATTAATGGTAGTAGTAAGATGTAGTAAGTTATAAGTAACAATCAATCACAATCGAATGGAAAGAGATCAATCAGCTGATTGATTTGATTTTTAGGAGTGATCTACAATATGTGGAGTAAATTTGGTATAAAAAGTAAGAGTAAGAAATGGACCAATCACAGTCGAATGTGAGAAGAATACTCGATTGTGATTGGTTAATTTCTCACACCAAGTTTGTGAATTAGAAAACCCCTAGGCACTCATCTGCTGTGATTGATGGTATTCGATATGAAAAATGTAACGAAAAATTATTTTTAAAAATCGAACTGGTAACAGTGACTTATTAAAAAGTAACAAGTTACAGTTACTCGTTATCGAGTAGAAAAGTAACAAGTTACTGTTATTAGTTATCGATTTTTAAAAATAACTTTTCGTTACTTTTTCGATACTTTTTTAAAATCGACAATCACCAATCACAGCAGACAGGTGCCTAGAAGCTTTCTAATCTCAAGTGCTATAAATGGCTTGTCTAATCAAACCGTATCCAATCGTGTGTAAAGTAACTGTAAAATTCATTACCGTTACAAAAAAAAAATGTAACTATGTTACCGTTACAATTATCGAAAAAAAGGTAATACAGTTATCAATAAACTTATCAAAAAAGTAACTGTAATTTCGCTACAAGTAAGGAAGCGTTTATATTGGCTGTAACCGTTATATTTGCTGTAATCACATTATTGACTAATCACAGTCAAATATTCCCCTGTCATTTGATAATAAGAAGGGAATACTCGAAGATAATTGGTCAATTTTTACAGATTACAGCATACATTTACGGCAATATAAACGCTCCCTGACGAATTAAGACCATTATACCCAAAATTACATTAGCCGCATAATCATCCTAAGACTGCTGAACCAATAACCATCTAACATAATGACGCCATATTCATTTACATAAGATGCTCATTGGTCTAAGGGTCTTATGTTATGATTATGGAATTTTGTAATTTATATAATTTTGTGTGTGATGATTCTTACTTCCATTCTCTGATTTTAATGTATTATTTAATATGTTAAAATTTTAATATATCTGTATTATACACATAATTAAATGTAAAATGTGTAGCAGAATAAAGAGGGGCTTTCAGGCCCTGCACGTAATTGATTGCCACAGGAAGCAAAACAAACCCAAACGAAAGAATATTTTGTATATATGTACAAAGTTTCATCCCACAAAAGCCACCATTTCGAGATATCAATGTAATTTTTAGTATCTTTTTTTCTGATTTATCTAAACGGATGTTTAAAATTAAAAAAAATATGGAGAGAAGAATTTAAAAATCGTATTTTTTATATGATCTGAAGGATCATTTCTAAAATAATTCAATAAAGTAGCTAAATCTTATCATATATTATTGGATTTGGGAGAAAGTTCAATCATTTGTTTTTTTTTATTTTAAAATCGTCAAAAATAAATGAAATTTAAATTTAAAAAAAAGGTTTTAAAGCTTGAAATCTCTACTTTCGAAAGGTTACTATATTTTTTGAGTTTCTGTGAGTTTGGTAATTTTTACATATAAAAAACTACGAGCTGAAAAAGATGAAAAATTTTCTTTTCACTTTGGGAATCTTTCATGTGCTCAAAAAAAATTTACGAAAATTTTTGAGTACTTATCGTGAAAGCTTGAAGCTTTCCCTACAAAAAATGTTCCTATGATTTTTGAATGATTTATGAATGTTCCTGAGTTATTCGCCAGTTAAGTAAAAGAACATTCTGACTTTAATTGCTTATAACTCCGATAAAAATCATCATAACGCAATTAAAAAAATAGACTCTTAAAGCTGAAACTTTGCTCTAGCGAATATATAACTATAATGAAAATTTCGCAACAAATGAAAAACTTTTGCATAAAAATATAAAGAAACTTTCTCTCCTACCCAATATATTCGATATTTTTTCAGATTTTTAGATTTAGTGAAATATGTTGAAAAAAATTTTCAAAGAACTAATTTCTAACTTTAAAATTTATCTTACCTTAATATGACGTTAAAAGACTTAAAGTTTTTGATCTACAAGGCTATTTAACCCAAAGTAGAAGCTATATCTCTAATCAGAATTTCAAGATCTAAAGTTGAAATGTGTGGTGTTAACTTTACATGTCCATTATAATTAATCAATTCAATAAAACAAATGTGTTTCATGCTGTTTTTTATTTTAATTAAGAAATAAATCTATTTTTTTTTTAGTAGTAGAACTTATATAGCACGAATATTATTTTTTACATTAATTGAACGATGAAATCCAATTGGGAATGTTCTGTATAAGGTGTGGGCATTGTCAAAGACTTAGCCCTACGTGGGAGCAGTTGGCAGAGATCTCGAATGAAGAGGACAGTAATATAAGAATCGCCAAGGTGGATTGCACAACCGAGAGCATTTTGTGCAGCGAGCAAGATGTTACTGGTTATCCTACGTAATACATTTTTGCCATCTAATTAATTTTGTCCGAAACAGATTTGTTGAAAATTGATTTTTAATTTATATGCGCCATAATTATATCTGATAATATCTTTATGCATGGTGTTATACAGATTTATTTGTAAATTATCTTGAAATTACATATAATGTTATGATGTCTTTTGACATAGATTAAAATTTTACAAGACTGGAGAAATTAAAGGCGTCAAGTTTCGAGGTACTCGTGATTTACCTACATTGACTTCTTTTATTAATGATCAGCTAGGTAGTTCAATGGTATGTATATTTTATACTGAATTTCAATGCTATTGCATTGAATTGTTAGTCACAGTTTATATGTTCCAGGTTGAAGATGTTATGCCGACTCCTCCGGAAGCAGTGAATGGATTACTAGAATTAACAGAAGATACGTTTGAAAAACACGTATCTTCTGGACATCATTTTGTTAAGTTTTACGCACCCTGGTGTGGACATTGCCAGAAATTAGCTCCAACTTGGGATGAATTAGCCAACAGTCTTCGCAACGACGACATAGTCAGTATTTCTAAGATAGATTGTACACAGCATCGTATTATCTGCGGCCAGTTTGACATTAAGGGATATCCTACGCTGCTGTGGATTGAAGACGGAAAAAAGGTATTGATTGAATTATCGATTTTTTTTCGCATAAAGAATAATTATTTACAAGGTGCTTACTGTCTGAAAAAAATCTAGAAAACCTGAAATTTTGAGATTTTTTTATCCTTGAAAATCGGTATTTATAAAGAAATCCTTGAAATTTTATTTTTATATTCTGCCTCTTTCTGAAAACATTGTTTTTGTTATTTTTTCTTGATAATGTAAAATGTCGATAATCGGTAATAATAATAATAATAATAATAATAATAGCTTTATTGAATGCGCTATGGCTTATATATAATTAATTGAAAGCAACACGTATAGTATATGATAATATTAAAAGCACATGAAGGAATTAGAAAAATGACTCATTCTGATGGATGAGTTGAAAGTAGGGAGATCTGTCAGCCAATCAAATTTTGAGTTCATTTGCAGAAATTCATTTGACTCGTTCACGTGGAAAATGAACTCAATTTCTGATCCTCCGCTATTATTCTCAATGAGTCACCTTTCTAATTCCACCATGTTAAAAGTATACAATAGACATGACTGCAACTAAGAGTTTTGATGCCTAATTTAATTAGAAAGCGGATATATATGACGTACATTTACATATATTTTCGCGAGTTTTTATTTAAAAAAATCAGGATAACAGTAGAAGACAATATATAATAGAAATTCATTAATATTAATAATTGTAGTGACCCATTTTTATACTATCCTATAGGTGTTTTGCAATTGTAGAGAAGATAAATGTAGAAAATACCTCGTTTTAAATGTTTATCAAAATACATTCAATCGATGCATTTTTATGTAAAAGTAAAGATTTAACGAGGAAAAAAATCTCGCTGTATCTCGTGAAGCAAGATATTACTAATAGCAGTTTGTTATTACTGAGATTATAAAATCTATCATATCGATATGTATGTTGCGAACTGTGCAGTGCGCATGTACTATAGTTACGTGTGCATGCAATGACTAGCCATATGCGCATGCATTTTATATATATTAAATCTTTAAAAATGAGTGAGCAGGGCGCTGGGCATGTATTTGAATTAATTTGAAATATTTTGGTTTGATCTCATGACCCTCACGATTTCCACGTGCTTCCTTTTTTTATCTCTTCGTACCTTGACGTCTGAAGCTGCTATCCAAGTATGTGTTCGAAAGATTAAGTTTGAACACCTTTGTTTCATACGTTTGAATAAGCTTACAAGAACGGACTATGGGTTCCGAGAGCAAGTAGGTGAGAGGCTCACGCGACTCTTAATGGAGAAGAATATAAGAAACTTTGTGAGGGAATCTACTTGAGGATCTCTTAGTTAGGTTTAGATGAGTTCATCATTTGTGGATCATCATTGCAGCTACTAATAGTTATTACATTTACACGGCTCGATTTAGAACATCAAAGTTACGAAACTGACTAACATAGCTATTCCTTTGAAGAATGGAATGACTGTGATTGGTCAGTTTCATAATGTCGATATTATAAATTATTGACGTTAGATGTCGTGTAAAACACTATATTTTACAATGAAATTATTACATCGATATAATAACTCAAAGTCGTTTAGTAAAGAGGCCACACACAAAATAACATAAACTGACTTTTCACATTCTTTCATTTTTTCAGCTCGGGAATAAAATAAATCTGACCGTGAACACGACTTACTTAAGTCGGAATTATGACATCAGCGTTATTAAGTCGAAGTTAAAAAAAGCTATATACATATAAATATATACATTAAATGTTATAGGAACACTCCACCTAGTTACTGGAAAAGGAATTCATTTTTGTTCCTCATGATACACTGCTGGTAGTGGAATCTTATAGTTTACATTATATAATGTAAATAAATCTAAATTTTCAGTATTATATGTTAGGATAATGGTATATTTTAACCTCTCTTAATTTATTATTTTGTATTAAGGAAGCTGGTATTGTATGCAATAAGCTTTTATGTCTGACACTTGATGTTCCTATGTCTAATGGCATCTTCAGGTTTCTTTTTGATTTGGTACTTTTTTGCAAGAGACAATATAATACAGTGATCACTTCATCTTTATTTAACATTAAATGACAAAGTAATGATCCACTGTGTTACATTATGCCATCTGTAACTCTTCCCTCACAAAAAAACTACTGAGCACTAATACACTGCTACACTATTGGACTGTTAATATACACTAAGTAGTAGTAAATTCGACACTATTGCACTATTGCACTGATACACTACTGCAGTAGTTTCTTTTTGCGAGGAAATATTCATAAAAAAAATTAACTTATAAATTTTATTTTTTTTTTTATTTATTTTTTAACTGAAATTATTTTATATAAGATGTTTACAGTGTATAATTTTAGCTGAGGTCTCTATAATTCTCTTTTTTGTCGATTCTTAAAAAATTTTTTAATTTTACCTACAATTTTTAATAGAAATATCTAGAAAATCCAGGAATTCTTTAAGTTATTTCAGTAAACTAAGTTAGATCTGTTCTCGTTGCTTGAAATTCTCAAAAATTGTTGTACTTAAAATGAGATAAATGTATATATGTTCGGATGTTAAAGAGAAAAAACGAAGATGTAAAAAGTGCAAATAACGCAAACAGATTTATTCTCTTTTACATAAAAGAACTTTTGATGGAATATTTAATGGGATATAAATCTCTAGGTGGATAAATATACTGGCCAGCGTACTCATGAAGAGTTGAAAGCTTATGTGTCAATGATGCTGGGTAAAAATGCAGAGAATGAGTCAAGCCGGAAGCTTGAAAGTACTGACGGAATCCCGAATGCTATATTGAGTTTGACGGCTGATAGTTTCAAGCAAGGTATCGAAAAGGGCCTTTCATTCGTCAAGTTCTTCGCACCCTGGTGCGGACATTGCAAACGTCTGGCTCCTACATGGGAAGAGCTAGGTAAGAAGTTCTTCGGCAATGATAATGTGAACATTATCAAAGTCGATTGTACACTCGACGTAAGTAAACAATTGTGCAATGAACAGGAGGTAGATGGTTTTCCAACTTTGTACTTATATCATAATGGACGCAAGGTCTCAGAATACAATGGCTCGCGTAATCTCGACGATCTGTACGACTTCGTAATGAATCACATGAAAACGCATGACGAATTGTAATTTCGTCGAGAGGTGTGTGTGTGTGTGTGTGTGTGTGTGTGTGTGTGTGTGTGTGTGTGTGTGTGTGTGTGTGTGTGTGTGTGTGTGTGTGTCTCATAATGTATTCCCAATAATACTTCGAATAATTTAATTAATTTAAGACGCATAATGGTTCGATTTTTTATTGCCAAATGGAAATAGAAGAAGTGGGAATTTTTTTCATTTTTATATCTTATATATCGAGAAATAAACGATACGTTAGTATATAGAATGTAACATACTCAAATGTAATCCCGTGTAAAAAAATGTGCTTTCAAAATATATCTATTTATTGTCTTTTCTCATTTATTTTGCATTTATACATATAATTCTTTTTTGTTTATCCCTTATACTATTATATTATTTATTGCGTATACCTTGATAGTGGGGCTATAAAATTTTATTAAAAGATAAAATAATTAATGTTGATCTTGTTCTTCGTATACCCAATATAAGTATTAATTGATTTCAGAAATAAGAAAGAATAAGTTGATTGATCCTATTATAACTTTTAACATATGATTGTATTAGTATGCGCAGTATAAGTGATGTTTGTTATTTTAAATATTTGAAGATTTCTGATAATTAACAGATATACATGTGTGTGTGTATGTGTGTGTATGTATGTGTGTCTATATATATATATATATAAATTTAA